ATTATAAAGGTTTAATTATATTTTAAGATATATATAAATCACATATAAATGATTTAGAGTAATGATATTCTACTATAGAATAGAGGAGGAAGTTTCCTTTAATTATTTCATTTGTATCTCATGACAAAAAACTGTCAGGGTTCTCCAGAGTCTATATCCCCAAAGCCAGGCAGTTAGTGATAAAGCAAACAACATTATCATGAAATATAGTTTAATAGTCTGTCTCTTCCTCAAGGGCATTTTTAAACTGCCTCCATAACTTCTTGATAGATGAAAATATGTAATTTATTGAAATGCATTAAGAATGATCATCTGATTAAAAGGAATAGAAAATTTTTTTAATTTCAATTTTGGAAAATAATATGTATGAAATTTATTATTACTAACAAGGAAGTTTTCAATAAAAAGCACATCAGGAGACTGACTTTCGGTGAGTTGATTCCATGTAGGTTCATCTTTTCATTATCATGTGAGGGATACGGAAATATAGCAAATTTTGGCAGGAAAAACCCAAATGATATGCATAATAGTAATAACTACATAATTTACAGTTTATTTTCAATAGGCCAATTCTATTTTCATTCTTCCAAGGCCCATATTTGAAAATATATTTCTGTTACAGAGTGCTGACACTCGGTATATATTAAGTGGGGACATAAAGTGTCTCTCCTTCTCATCATGGCTTGCTTCACTCAGCAGTAAATCTTCCATATTCTTCCACTTTCCGTCAAAAGCCAGGGTTTTGTTGGTTTTTATGACTGAATAGTATTCCATAGAATATATGTGCCATAGTTGCCTGGGGGAAAAACATTTGGAGGAGGGATATGGAGACAGCAGTGTTGAGACAGGGAGGTAGTATTGTTATATTTTGATCAACTGGACCAGGGAGAAATGTTCACATATTGAAATGATCACCTTGTAAGCTAAAAAAATGTGATTGAATATATTAAAAAAATGTAAAAAAATTAAATTAAATTTAAAAAAGAAAATATATTTCTAATTGCTGTGTTACATACGTCAACAATTATAGAAAAAAATGTTAATCTAAATCTTGCCCTAAAAAGTGATATACTTTTGGAAATAAGCTAAAAGACATGGACACATAGTGTTTTAAATATTGCATAAATATTATTACAATATGAAAGAAGAAACACTAGAATTAGAAAAAAGCATTTGGATTAATAGTAGTTTCATGGAAGAGCTATGTAAATTAAAAGGTGCCATTTCAAAGCATACACAATAGATTAGAAAGTATGACTTGCACTTGTAAATATTTAAAATACTACTATGAATAAAATAATGTTCAGAGTCAAAATAATTTTGTTTTGTAGTTCCTGGATATATTATAAAATATGTGCCAAAAGGTTTAATTTATTTTCATTTAATTCAAATACATTTGCACTATTGTATGCTAGGCTAAGAGAGAGTTGATAATAATTAATACTACAGATTAGACTGCAGTTACATAGGTCAGAAATTTTATATCCAATCAATATACAGTTAATGACAATAGACAAGAAGAGAACAAGACTTTTTGAAGGTATCTCTTTTTAAATTTTTTCCACTGATTGTCTAATTTCATTTAAAGTCATAGACCTTAAATGACAATAAGAGGATAAGGAATAACTAATAATTAGAACAGAATGCTAAAGGCCAAATGGTGGTGTGGTGATTTGGGCACTGTATATCTACATGGCCAGCAGTGGTTCGAGTCCTTGACCTGGAGGCTCGTTTTCTCACTTTTCCTCTCTGTCTCTCTCTGTCTCTGGTGAGTGCATGTGCCCTATACAAAATTCTTAAAAATAATAGCAATGATAATAATAAATAAAATTGGATAATAATTCTGAAAAAAAGATAGGAATGCTAAAATGCAGGTGATGTATTGGAGGATTGAGAAATAAATAAAATATGTATACAAGATTGAGACAAAAGCCTAAAGTTAAAAGAATTCTAGGATATAATATCTTTTCAAAAATAGTTTCCCATATATTTACTGCAGTGGCATTTTCAAAATTTAGAATTGATTGTTACTATTTTCTGGGATATTAGCATATTGGTATATTAATAAGGAAACAAGCTAATATTTGAGGAGGGAGTTTTACTAAGTATAAATTTGTGTCCTGATATTTTGAAGTTAAACCTCATTTAAAGCTCATACTAAACATTAAAGGACCTACCATACGTTGTTATCCACATTTCACAGATGATACGGTTGAGGCTCAGACAATTTAACCATTTGCCAAGGTTATACACGTATTGAAAGAAGCAGAATCTTTATTAATGGCATCAGCCTCCTAAGCTCACATTCCCTAAATACACTATAATATGATGCTACCTTTTCTCCGTACGTTGAAATCAGCTTTCCTCAATGAATAGAAAATCCAGCCAAGATTAGAGTTTCTGACAATCGGTATGGTGGGATAGCGCAAGTTTTTGCTGTTGTTGATGTTCACCTTGCCATAAATAAGGACACAGATTATTCATTCAGCTGTGGTAATCTTTTCCAGTACCAAGCTAAATTAATCTGAAATAATACCATATGTACTGTGCTGAAATTATCATTATAACTTTATATTAACAAATATTGTCTTACACATTTTCAGTATCAGTTTTACTTGTGAATGAATGAATATACAATGTGGATCTGGCTGTCAAAATAATTATGAGATGGGTGAAGAGTTACATTCATCTTTGGTGATCTTGAATTTTACTAAGTAGTAAAGACTCCTTATAATTATCTAAATT